ACATGTCCATCCTGGGCCTCCTGCAGTGCCACAACGATGCCACCCGACGGTTGCAGGAACAGCACTTCATATTCCGCTTGGGAACCCTGCAGCCCAATGGTCTCAATGTGGACTTCACAAGTTCCCCTCACCCAACCACTTCCCAAAACCAGCCCAGCTTGTCCCTGCCACCCCCATTTCCTACCTACTAGCCTCATCCCACCCCCTTGACCTGTCCCCTCCCTAACTCCCCACCTACACTCAACTTTTACTGGCTCCACTCCCGCCTCTTTGACCTGTCTGTCTCTTCTCCACCTATCCTCTCCTTTTTATCCATCTTCTATCCGCCTCTCCCCCTCTCCCTATTTATTTCAGAATCCCCTTGCCCTCCCCCATTTTGAAGAAGGGTCTAGGCCCGAAACGTCAGCTTTCCTGCTCCTCTGGTGCTGCTTGGCCTGCTGTGTTCATCCAGCTCTACGCCTGTTATCTCGGATTGTTGAAAGTTATTTTTCAGGGGGAAGAAGGGTATTTTTCTGGTTCTATTTTAGTAACACAATTGGAAGGTGGTTGAAGCTAGATGATACTTAAACTTATTTTGGGGGCGGGAGTTCGAGCATTTTTCTTCACCAATTTTTAAATAAAATCTAGGTTCCCTCCCTGCTTTATTTGGAAAACCAAAATAAAAATGGCTTATTGGTTGAAAGTACTGGGAGTCCCACAAGATTGGTCTTTAATGAAATGGCCACTTCATTGAAATTCTGAGAAATACAGTTGTTTTGAGCATTTAGCTGGATCTGACATTCTAAATGTTCAAATGTGGCTGTTTTGGAAGGTTAATGCATCCCAGTGCAAATATTTAGTTTTGAAGGAAATCTGAAAAACTGAAGAACAGCATTCCCTCATTATAAAGTTTTCAAAGCATGATGAGTTCCTTTATTGGTGAGCGGCGCTGTCTGAGGCAATGGAAAAGTACGAGATAAATGTTTGATTCCTTAGATGTGCAATTGCAGTAGCTGTTAAATGTGAGGAAATGGAACAAGGCCGTTAGAGAAATGGACGTCGGTAAGGGCCTTAAATAAAGTAAATAGAGTTGTTTTAAATGAAGATTGGTATAAAATCCAAGTATTTAACAATTCTCTTGGTCAGTGGCTGACATCATACAAAACCAGAGGCCTGGAAAGTCGGATTCTTCTGAATAGTTCTCTTGCTCAAGTTTGGTTATTGTTCCAATTGTAATTTTGTAAACTTGAAAGCTGTTGCTAATATTACACTCAACCCTGCTGTCATCGTTGTGTTGACCTAGAAATTCTGTTCTTTTCTATTTGGCATTGCCTAAACTGCCTATACAGGAGGGATGCTGTTGAATTACAGGCTCCTCTTTGGAGTAAAGGCAATCTAGAATTGGAAATGGCAACTTCGAGGAAGAAAACTTTGGTCAAAGTTTTCTTCTTTATCCATTTCCAGTTGCTGGATCGAGAAACAGAAATTGCTGGAGAAACTCAGCACACCTGGCAGCATCTGTGGAGCAAAAGCAGGGTTATTGTTTCGAATCTTCAGAACTGATAGTAACTAGGAAAAGGTGGTGTCTTTGTGTGCTGAAAATGGGGTGGGGAGAACTGAGTGAATAGGTGGAAATAGAGCCTTGAAAGAATGACAGACAGAGAAAGGGATGAATAATGGTAAGCCAAGAAGAAAGAAAAATTGATAATGGGGACAATAAGTAGCTGAAAAGTGTTTGGCTGTGCTGAAGGCAGTCTGTGTCATTGCAATCTGGGGTATGTACAAAAGGCATAGAAGGTGTTCAAACCCTAAAATTATTGAACTTGATGAGTCCTGAACGCTACTGGGTCCCCAAGCAGAAAATGAACTTGTGCTGAGCCTCACTGAAACCCTGCAGCAGGTCAGGGACATGGTGGTTTTTTGAAGTGGCATGCAGTGGAAGCTGGGGTCTTTTTTTTTTTTTTTTTTTTTTTTTTAGTGCGAATGTAGGTGCGTTGCAGAACGGTTGCCTAGTCGGTGTTTTGTCTCCCCAGTGTGGTGAATACAGTAGATTGTATTGAGCAAATTGCAGGTAAATCACTGCTTCACCTGGTGTCTGGTGCCTTGAATAGTGAGGAGGAGGAAGTGAACAGGCAAGTGTTAACACTTTCTACGATTTCATAGGAAGGTGTCGTAGGAGTGTAGGGAGATATTGGGAATGGAGAAGTGGACCAGAGGGAATGGTCCTTGAAAAATGCTGACAAGGGAGCGGAGGGAGACGAAGGCTTACCATCCTTCGGACATTGCTGGTGGGATGGAAAGTGAGGATCCTTATTGGTGTTGTGGGAGGGGAGGGAAGGGAAGCGAAGCAGTGAAGGAAATGAGTTGGGCTTGGCTAAGGACCCTGCAAACCATGATGGTGGGGAATCCTAGGTTGAGGAAAAAGGTAGACGTTTCTGACCTCCCCCACCCCCCATTAAAAGGTAGTGTCATCAGCACACATGCAATGGAGATGGAGAAACTTGAAAAATGGAATGGAGTCTTTTTACAAGAAGCAGGGTGTGAGGATGTATATCCAGGTAATTGTGGGAGTTGGTGGATCTGTAATGGATATTGGTGGCCAGCCTATTCCCCAGAAATGGGAACAGATGTTGAGGAACGAGGTGTCAGAGTTGGACCAGGTAAGAGCAGGGTGGAAATTGGAAGCAAAACAGAAACTTTTCCAGTTCTGGATGTGAGAGGGAAGCAGCACTGATGTCGTCAATGTACCAGAGAAAGAGTTCTGGATGGGGTTAGAATAGTACTGAAACAACGAATGTTCAATGTGCCCCAAAAAGGGACAGGCATAACTGGGGCCCATGGGAGAACCCAGGGCCACATCTTTTGATCTGAAGAAAGCAAGAAGAGTTAAAGGGGAAGTTGCTTAAAATGAGGACATGCTTGGCCAAGCGGAGGAGGGTGGCAGTGGATGGGAACATGTAGGGTCAGAAGAATCATGGATATAAGTGGGAAGGGACTGGATGAGGTGAGGAAAAGCATTGCATCAATGTAGGGAGAAGGAAGTTCATGTGGGGCAGAAACCATGAGTCTGCCCATGCAGTCCTGTTTGTGGATTTTTCCACCAACCATTTCCGTCACCTCCAGTGGGATTCCGCCAACAGATGCGTTCTCCTTCCCTTCCTTGTCAGCATTCCACAAGGACCTTTCCCTCTGGGACACCCTGGTTCACTCCTCTCTGCTCCCAATGGCTCACCTGGCACGTTCCCATGCAACCGCAGAAGGTGCAACACCTACCTGTTTACCTCCTCCCTCCTCACCATTCAAGACTCCAGACACACCTTCTAGGTGAAGCAGTGCTTTACCTGCATTTCACTCCATCTAGTCTGCTGTATTTGCTGTTCGCAATGTGGTCTTTTCTACGTTGGGAGACAAAACACATTAGATGACCGCTTTGTGAAACACCTGATGTTCTGTCTGCAAAAAAACTGAGTTTCCAGATGCTTGCCACTTCAACGTACGACTGTGTTCCCTGGCCGACATTTCTGTCTTGCGCCTGCTGCAGTGCTCCAGCGAGACTCCACGCAGGGTGGAAGAACAATGTCTTGTTTTCCACTTGGGGACCCTGCAGCCTTCAGGACTATGTTGAATTCAGTAATTTTAAAACCTAAACACCTGTGTCCATGTCTTTTACTTATCCCTACATCCCTGTCATAATGTGGGCTGCTTTCAGCTCAGCCAATCCATTTTTTACTTACTTATGGTTTCCATTAACAGCTTTCCCTTCTCCCAAACATACTGCCGCCTTCTAAGGAAGGGTCACTGGACCCAAAATGTTAACTCTGATTTCTCTCCACAGGTTCTGCCAGATCTGTTGAGCTTTTCCAGCAATTTCTGTTTTTGTTTCTGATTTACAGCATCTGCAATTCTTTTGGTTTTTACGCTGTCATCCATCCCTTTCTCTTTGTGTGTCCGTCCTTTTCTTCTTGTGCCTCCCCACCGCCCCCCTTGCAGCATATATACCACCTCTTCCTAGTTACGCTCAGTTCTGAAGAAGGGTGAGTGGACTCTCACATTGACTGACTGTGTTTCTCTCTCTACAGATGCTGCCAGACCTGTTGAGTTTCACCAGCAATTTTTGTTTTCGGTTCAGACTTCCAACATCTGCAGTTTTGTTTTATTCCACTTGCTGAATGTTGAGCTAATATTAATTAATGAGACTACTTTTCAAATGCAAAAATTAAAATCTTGTCATATATTCTTTTGCAGCTGAATCCCGAATTGAGCAGTGAGACAGTAGTCGTCCTGGGACATGGAAATGTGGCGTTGGACGTGGCCAGGATTCTCCTGTCTCCCGTTGATTTACTCAAAGTTGGTGAATTCCTGTTTGCGTCATCTTTTTGTTTATGACGATTGAGAAGTTGTTAATCAGTGATTTACAGAGAAATTCCTTTGCACTGCTTGATTCCTCCTACATAAAAGGAAACAATGGCTAGTTTTGATTCTCTCTCCACCATATTTATTGATACCTAGCCATCAAGTTAGTGTTGTTCTAATTTAGTGTGTTTGGCCATACAAGTAGATAGGGCGGTAAAGAAGGCTTGTGGCATGCTTGTCTTTATTGGTCAGGGACTTGAGTACACAATGTCATGTTCAAACTTTATAAGACTTTGGTTAGGCCTTAGAGTATTAAATTCAATTCTGGTTGCCACATTACAGGAAGGATGTGGAGGCTTTGGAGAGGGTGCAGAAGAAGTTTACCAGGGTGTGCTGCTTGGATTAGAGCTACAAGGAGAGACTAGAAAAACCTCATTATTTTATTTTGAGTAGCACAGGCTGAGGGGAGATTTGATAGTCTATAAAATTATGAACTGACGGTTCATAAGTTGACGGTCAGAATCTTTTTTTTTTCCCCGTGAGTTGCATTTAAGGTGAGAGGGTGAAACCTCAAGATGATATGAGGGGCAAGTTTCCTATAGAGTGTGGTAGGTGTCTGGAACACTACCAGGGATGGTGGTGGAGGCAAATATGGTAAGGGCATTTGAGGAACTTTAGATAAACGCATGAGTATGCAAGGAATGGAGGGAGCAAGGGCAGGCAGAAGGGATTAGTTTCATTTGGCATCATTTTCGGCACAACGTCGTGGGCCAAAGAACTGTATAGCACAGGAACGGACCCTCTGTATAACCTTGGGTAAGTTGTAAAAATCAACTGATTTAGGGAGCAGAGAAATATAGTAGTTTGGAGGTGTTTTTGGCTGAGCAGCTGAAAAGCTGGTCGGAGGATGGAATTGCAACCTGATGAATTCAAATGTTGTTTCAGTTAGTAATGTTGGAATATATTTCAATGTAGCATGAATTGGAAAACTTCCTCCTGAAGCTCTAAATATTATTCCTTTTCAGAATGTTCTAATTGTAATTTTGTGGCATGTGTGCGTGTATTAAATAATATGTACTTAAGTACATGTATAAATATATTTACAGAAAACAGATATCGCTGGTCATGCTTTGGAGGCTATAGCAGCTAGCAATGTGAAGCGGGTACTAATTGTTGGACGAAGAGGACCTCTCCAAGTTGCCTTTACCATAAAGGTATGGTAACTTCATAAAGTTGGCAACATAATCCATTACAGTATAAATGCCTTGTGTAAGCATGCTATTTCATGCAGCCTGGTAAGCCTACTCTTGTCAGTTTAATTCACTGATGCTGTTATCCACAAACCTACCAGTGTTTCATAATTTTTTTGTTAAAATCTGTGCTGACAACTTAAAGATAACGACTAGTGTGTTATATTTTACAATGTAGCCAGTTCACTTACATTAATTAGCTAATTAAATGATATAGTTTATATTGATGTGTATACTAATTGATGATCACTACCCAGTGGGAGATAAAGACAGTTGCAGTTTAGAGTATTTTTAGAGCCTTTTGAGTTGCTAGAGTGAAATCCAAGTTGCAATTGCTTAGCTGTTTCCCTTTTTCTTCAGTCGTGGTGAAACTTGTAGATACCCTTGACTACTTGTCAAAAGTTTTTCCAATTTTTTTTTTGTTACCGGTGCTGATTTGCTGAGATTAGAGGAGCTTTCCATTTCTTTTACTGTCCATAAGGACATAGGAGCAGGAGTAGGCCATTCAGTCCCACCATTCAATTAAATGATGATGGCTTATCTGCCCCAGGCCTCCACTCCTAACTTGTCATCTCACCATAGGCCTCTACAGTTGTAACAAGACTTTTGCTTTACAATTCTAACGTGGCAATGAAGGCCAGAATTTTCATTTGTCATCTTAATTATTTGCAGCACTTTGCTAACTATTTTTTCCCCATTCAGAAGAACGTTCCGATCTTCCTGTGCTGCATTTTTTTGTCTCAAGTTTGATAATAGTCCGCCTTTCATGCTTTTTACTAACGTACATGATCTCTCACCTTCCAACATTAAACTATCTGCTAACTTTTTGCATGCTTACTGTACTTATCTTACAGATTCCTTAATTATCTTCCCACCTCTTTAATGTATTATTAAGTTTGATACATTACATACTATTCCCCTCCTGCAAGACATCAATACGAACAGTCCCCAGATTGTGAGCAGGTTTTGTGCTTGAGGCCACTTGCAAGTAGTTTTGTATACAAGTCAGCGCACAATGCAAGGCAATAAAATAGCTGTTTATCAGTACAAGGAAATGTTTGCATGTCTGATCTTTAAAATTACTAATACACCACTATATCTGATCGCATTCTTAAGTATGACTGTTCCTAAATCGGGAAACCCCAGTGCAGACAGTGAGTCATTGAGGTGCCATGACTGATCCTTGTGGTACTCCACCACTGCATCTTTTTGAGGTTGGAAAGACCTGTTAATCCCAACTCTCTTCTGTGTGTTAACCAATCCAGTGGTAGCACGTTGTCTCCATTTCCATAAACTCCTACCTCGTGCAGTAACTTTCCACGTGGCACCTTTATCAAATGTCTTCAGGAAATCCAAAAAACATTGCACCTTTCTCTTCCTGCTTAATAATTCTCATTCATTATTAACTATGCTGGTTATAATCCTGAAAAGACACTTTCTTGGTAGTCAGTGCACATGGGGCTGAATTTTTTGTATTCTCTTAATTTTCTCTAGGAATTGCGCGAGATGATTAATTTGCCTGGTACTCGTCCATTGCTCAATCCCAGTGACTTTGTGGGGCTCAAGCAGATTGTTAAAGGTGAAACTACATTATTTTATTTAGGAGCTTCTTTGCTTTTTGTTTTGGCTTTTGAAGCACTTTTTAAATTGAAGTGTGGCTTTCATGTAAATATTTGCCTGGAATTCAAAAGAAAACTTGTCTTCACAGCACTATTAGTCTGAAATCTGGTTTGGGTTATTAAATTGTGTTAAAGAATTAAAACAGGATTGCACTCTTTTTGATCTGAAGGTAAGATTGCTTAGTTTCTGTTGTAGTGTGCCGCCATATAGCTGTCACGGGTGAAAATCTCACTAAG